TTGACCCGTTCCGCTATATTTGATTGCGGCCGATACGGGACCATTTTTAAATGACGTATGCCCAGTTTTTGGCACATGTCTTCAAATATATTACTTACAAATTGAGGACCATTATCCGATATAACTTTTAGGGGCGCCCCGTATTTTAAAATATATTTATTTAAAATAGAATCAGTAACTAATTTCGCGGAGGCTCGTTTTAAGGGAACAATTTCGGTCCATTTACTAAAATGATCAACCATAACAAGGAGATAGCGACTTTTATTTAACTGACTTTTTGGGAAAGGGCCCAATAAATCGATGCCAATTATTTCATTTGGAAATTCGGATTTAATACTATTTAGAAACCCGGCCGGGCGGAAATTAATATAATTAACTGCTTGACATGTTGGGCAGGACTGGACATACGCCCTTGTTAACTTTTGCAGTTCAGGAAAGTAGACTGCCTCGCGTACGCGTTGGATAGTTTTTTCGAATACCAGCATGAGAAGCTAAAGGGCTGTCATGGAGCTCCTGCAGGATATTTAATCTAAGACTAGCTGGGATAACAGGTCGAAATTCGTTGTTGGAATTCGTAGTTTTTGTATAAAATAATAGACCATCTATTAGTTCGTAATGGGCCGCCCTATTTCTTATCGCCACAATATCTTGGTGGCTAAAATTTTCAGGATCCTTTAAATACTCATAAATGCTTCCAAACTCAGGATCCTTACCCAGTTCGGTTATTACAGTTTCTCGGGAATTTATTGTACATGCTGTGAGCATTGCCACCTTTACGGTATTACCTTCTGTTCATCTATTTTAATTCTTGATAGGGCATCTGCTACGATATTTTCCTTTCCGGGGGTATGCTTGATTACCAGATTATATTCTTGCAGCTTGAGTGCCCATCTTATTAACCTTGGGGATAAATTTTTTCCCTGAGTACAATCTAGTTACCGCCGCATGATCAGAGTACACTGTTATCGGCGCCTTTCCAAAATAGACTCGGAACTTTTGCACTGCTAACAGAACTGCAAGTGCCTCTCTCTCGGTCGCGGAATAGTTTCTTTGTGTTTGATTTAAAGTTCGGCTAAAAAATGCCACGGGCTGCTGATTTTGCGAAAGTACCGCTCCTACCGCATAATCCGAAGCATCCGCTGAAATTTCTAAATTCTCATCCTTTTCAGGAAATTTCAACACAGGGGCTTGCGTTAATGCTTGTTTTAATTTTTCGAAAGCACTATTGGCTTCGGCCGTCCACGAGAATCTTGCCTTTTTCCTTTTTAATTTTAACAATGGCTCAGCGATAGCCGCAAAATCTTTTATAAAGGACCTATAATATGAACAAAGTCCTAGAAAAGAAGAGAGCTTCTTTGCCGTGTTTGGAGTCGGATACTTTTGTACAGCGATTATTTTTGATTCGTCTGTCTCGATTCCTTTTTTTGAGATATTTTGTAACCTAAATATTTTAATTCAGGGGCTGCAAATTTGCACTTTTCGACATTAACTTTTAGACCGGCCTCATTTAATAAAGAAAACACCTGTCTTAAATCCTGTACATGTTGGTCGAGATTATCACTAGTAATAATGATATCGTCTAAATAGATAAATGTGGACTTTCCAAGAACAGGTCTTAACACAATGTCCATGCATCGCTGAAATGTTGCCGGGGCCCCTGAAAGGCCAAACGGCATACGCAAAAATGCATAAGTGCCAGACTTGGTTATAAAAGCAGTCTTAGGCACGTCCTCAGGCCTAACCCCTATTTGAAAATAACCAGTCGTTAAGTCTAAAGTCGTCATAAATTTGGTTGATTTTATGTTCCTTAGAATTTCTTCTATAATCGGTAACGGATATACCGGATATTTAGTTATGGAGTTTAATTTACGGTAATCAATAGCGAATCTCCACCTTTTTGGATGCGTCAAAGGATAGTCATTATTTTTCTTACATAAAACCACCGGGCTAGCATAACTACTTGAGATGGGCGTTATGATCTTTTTACGTAGCATATCGGTAATATGCCATTCTATAATTTTTTCCTTATTCTTATCATACCGGTATGGTTTTTGGCGAACTGGCATTGCATCTCCGGTGTCAATACTATGGTTAGTAACCTGAGTAAATCCTGGAATATCACTAAATAACGAAGCAAATTCACTTACCACTTGTCGGATTCTTCCTTGCTCGTCATTAGGCAGGTGGTCAAGATTTACCATCGGCGGTTCACAGCCTTTTCTGCACGAACTGGTTTCATTGTCAGCTTAAGGGACGCTTCATTAAAATCCAGTGTTGCTTGTGCGTCTGAAAGAAAATCTATTCCTAAGATTAATATGTGCTTGCAGATTCTTTACTATAAAAAACATCACCTTTACTTGTTCGTCCTTGATACGGATATACAAAGGTACTTTACCTACGCACTTACATTTTTCTCCTTGCGCCGCTAACACTGTCGTATTATCCGAATTATATATGCGGTATTTGCGAAAATACTTCCTAAAAAAATCTTCTGCCACACAGGAACACTGCGCGCCTGTATCCAGGAGTGCGGTGGCTGGGATATTATTCACCAACACTTCAATCTTCGGAAGAGTCAAATTTTTCACCATTACTGTATTTAACTTGTAGGAAGAGGGGTTTTTTTCGTGGCCTTCGGATTTCCGCACCCCTCCGTCAGCAGAAATCCGTTTTAGTTTAAATTTTTTTTTTTCATTTCCGTGCTTTCCTTCTTTTTCCACTGGCCTTGAGACTTTTTTTTCCTGGGATTGCTATTGAACTGTCGACGTTCGCCGGCTGTTTTTGAATGCTCGGGTTTCCTTGCCCACTGATTCGCTTTTGCTTCCGTAGCCGTGTGCTTGAGTTTGCTGTAGTCTTGGCGTACCAAATTGGTTTCGCTGTTGATATTGGCGTCTTCTTTCGACGTCCGCCGTTCTTCTACTTTCAAACTGGATTGCTAGCTCAAATAACTTTTCCAGTGTAGTCGGATTTCTTAATTCAATAAAGTCTTGCACTTGGGGCAGTAACCTCGGCAAAATCACTTGAATTATTTCAGGATCCGGACGGTTTCCATACAAGAGTTTGAAAGACGTGAATTTTTCTTAAAATAAAGCTTGAGAGGTTTTCGATTCTTTGTTGATATATACTGAAAAGTTCCGTTTCTAATTTCGCACGATCCCTTACAACAGGGAAGGCTTTTAGTAGGGCAGTCTTGAAATTTTCGTAAGTATAGGTGGGACTTCCTGCTTGACCCAAGAGACTTCTGCCTATACATTTGAACCAGTTAAGCGCTTGGCCCCTCAAAGCGCTGGTAGCTAAGGTAACTTTTTGAAACTCGTGCACGGGGTAGAGCATGAAGTGGTCATCCAATTTTTCCAAAAAACTGGTTACCGGTGAGTTTCCATTAAATGTTGCTTCTGGTTTCATCGAAGCGCGCATGGTCTGGACGATGTAACCAAATCCTTCCAGGGCGGCAGCTGGCATTTCTGGATTCTGAGCCGTTTCTGCAGGCAGCACAGGTTCTTCTTGAAACTCGGCCATGGTTATTCTTCTTCGTTGGGCGCCACTATCAGGTTCAATGTTCCTTCTTAACCTTCTTCGGGAACATGCAAGGACCTGACTCGGAACAGAGAGCTTACTAAAGCTATGTTCACTAATTGTGGGTAAGTAGACAGGATACACAAGAAGGGTATACAAAACCCTTTATTTTTTCTCTATTATACAATAACTTCCGTACTTCGGAATACACTGACCCGCACTACTTGGGGTCTAACGTAAAAGTATAAAAAATAAAACTAAACTCTAATTTAACTTTAAAATAATAAACGTGGAAGATTGGCCTTATAATTAACAGGAAGCGTATGTAGTACAGAGAACTGTGAACACTACAATACGTTTAAAATTTATCAAGAGGATTAAAACCTCTGGCCTGGAAGGCAACAGCAACTGCGTAACTTCTAAGGTAAGCGGCCTGCTTCGACTCACTGCTTCCTCTCTCTCTCTCGCTTGGCAAAAAGCCACAACTTAAATACTTGGCGTTCGCCAGACAAACTTTGCATAAAACCTTAACGCTTATATAATTCTGGCCGGAAGTAGAAAATAAGAAGTGATAGTAAAGATTTAAAATAAAATAAACGTTAGTAAAACTTAAGATCCTTACAAGTAAAGCAAGATTTAAGTGTAAGAAATTAAAAATGCTGACTTACTTATTTTGGTTAAACTTAATTTTTAATCTGGGGCCAAATAGAATACAAGTTTTTCTCATATATTGAATGAAACATATAAGAAGTAAGCAAAATACACCCGCTTTTGTACTCTATATTTAGTTGTTTCAAAACCTATTTACAAGCAATTTGTTGTAAACACAATTATAAAAAGACAGGTAATGGATTTATTTCATTTGCTTCTTATTTCAACTATTTGTAACGTAAACGTGATTTCTGTTTGAGAGTAAATTGGTAACAAAGATTCGAAAGCAACATTTTAAAAACTCTTCTCAAATTCAACGCACAAATTGTACGCGAAAGAAACGATAAGCATAAACATTGCATTTACAAACAATAGTTTGAAAAAGAGGTGGCGCCATCTAGTATGAAACTGACGAAATTCGGTTGATCGCCAGTTGGGACAATACCTCTATTTTTATTAATTAGCTAAATATATAAATAAAATACATACATTTAACCGTATAAAATTAAACCTTCGTATGTTTCTATTAAATGCTCTCACATAACTAAAATTATGGAAGATTGAAAGCCTACTTTATTGACCCATTCCTTAAACTAAATTCATGCATTTGCGACCAACCATTCAAGATGTATTTAGCTATACAATACTTTGAAGTGCATAGATACACTAATTTTCTAAGTGTTTTTTTTTTTTTTTTTTTTTTTTTTTTTTTTTTATGTACGAACCTCCAATTTTTATTCAGGATGATAATCTTAATCTTTGAATAATTACTGCTCTTAATTTAGTAAGGTAAACTATAATGTTGGCACATCACTTGACGTTTTATGTTTAAGGCTGCTGAAGATGTCAATCTGAAACACCGAGAATGGCTCAAAGACATCTTGCAGTACATGGACAAATCTTTTACAATTCTTTTTCTTTTGGAGATGTTGCTCAAATGGCTGGCATTCGGGTTTAAAAAATATTTTACAAATGCTTGGTGCTGGCTTGACTTTGTCATTGTTTTGGTAAGTGCAAGAGTTAAATTTGTTGCTTCAGATATTTATATATATATATTATATACCATAATTATCAATTATTATTATCATATCGATTAAAATATTTTTTATACAGAAGATATCTTAAGCAATTTTAATTCAAAGAATGTACATGAAAAGTCTACAGTTTTTCAAAAAGAAAAAGAAATCATAAATTTATGAATAAAACAAAAAGTTTACTGCTCTTTCGTCTTTTAATTTCTAAGTTGCGAAGAGTTAGCTCGAGAATAAAAAAATCAAGGTTGCGATGTAAGAATATGAAGATTAAAAGAAATCTCTGAATGAGTTACAGTAAAAACTCGAAATACACAATAAATTACCAGTATTTCGAAATTCTGATAAAAGAATTTATGTGAGTATTCTATAAAATATATAAAATGTTTGTATTCTTATACATATCCGAAATTACGGTTTCAAAACATGAAAAACGCAAGTTGAATTTCCATCAGTCAGCTGAGCAGAATAAGAGATCTAGAACCATCTTTATTTTTTTTAAAACACTTAGGCCGCGGCATGCATCTAAAATAATTTTAAGCTTATAAAGGAAAATAAATTTAAACATATGCCACGCAAATTACGTTGAAAAACATGCATTTAAGAATGAAATCAATACATTTCATATGCTATTAAATGCATAGTAATGCTAACTGTTTAATATCATAACTATTATTTAAAAAAGGAAAGGAAGAAAATTTAAAATTTCACGTGGTGGACAATAAAACTTAGGGAAAACTTTTCATATAATCGCTTAAAAATGCAATTCCTTAGTATTTTATTTCTAAAAGTAAGATGTTGGTTATATTAATTTCATTGCAGTTTTTGCTAACATTAACATTTGGAATACTCATTTTATTAGGTTGAAGATATTTAAAATTGCACATAATTATGACTCTTAAAACAAAAAGTATGGAATTGTGGGACATATCCCAAAATATTCTAATTTAAAAGGAAATTTTTCTTCAATATTAAAAATTTGTGTAATACCTTAAAGAAAATAACTCCGAGTTTGCTTGCATATTAATGTAAAACATGGATTTATAATTAGAAAAATTATTAAAATAAAAACTATTTTTGAAAAAAATAGTAGTTCAAACGGAGTGGGGGGGAGGTATTTAAAAAAAAAGTCTGTTTTTAGAATAATTCGCATAGAATGACACTGGAACCAACTCTTGATCTTAATTCTGCCTACAAATTTTTTTTTCTTTACTTAAAATCCTCCATGCAATGTAAAAATAGTTTTCACAAACATCTGCACTTTATTTTAATATATTATTAGAGGCCGAGTGGTTTTAAGACCGCCTTAAATATTAATAATTTGACTCAGCTTCAACCCCTAGCAAATATACCATTTGCCAGGGTTTGAAGGTTTTCATTTGCATGTAGCTTGAATTCAAGTAAGTTTTCCTTTCAAAGTCCTTCTCAAAAGCATCCTTCCGCTTAGGTTAATCCTTCCGCTTATGGTTTGCGATACACAGAAACTAATTTTATTCTGAAACATTCTGGTGTTGAAAATATAGTATGTCTAAGAATTTATTTGATTTGATTTATAAATGATGCGAAAACAAGTAAACTTCTTATGCTTTATCACCATTGATAAATCAAAGTGAAAAGCATTACGGAGAATTATTCCAGAGAAATTCGCCATAATCACGTGACGCATGGGGACAACCACGAAAATCTCCTGTACGTACACAGCACTCAACCACTAGAAATGGAACCACTGCAGCCACTCGGCCATTTGTGTTTTCCAATACTGAAAGAACTGAAGCAAAATTTTCTGACTATTTTCACTTATTATTTATGTTTAACTGATACGTTATTTAGTGAATTATTTTTTTATTTTAATTACTCCTTAATTTTTAGCATATAATTTTACACATACCAAAATAATTTCGAGTGCAAAATTTTAATGTCAATGATAGAGTGATGTCTGTAAGATTACACAATAAGAATATTTCTGTGTGTTTTTTGAAAAATTTCATTCTATTTTTTTAAGATTAAAGTTACAAATAAGACATTTTTTTAAAATTATTTGTTAAACTTCTTTCTATTAAACAGTGATTTTCAATAATGAATGCTAAAGTAAATAACATCATTTATATATTTTTTAAATATTAAAATTTTATCTTCGCTTCACATAGTTTACCCTATTTTAATACTTATCATGGCATGTGTTTATGTTTTCTTCATTTGTTATGGTTATGGCCTCCGAGCTGTATTTATCTTTTAATCCATTTGTTTGATATTTTCAGTGTTTCAGTGTCATTCTGTATAATTACATAAATTACATAATTATCATTTTGTGCATTTCAAACTGATATAATTAAATAGATATACTGAATTACTAATGGAATAAATTTTAATCAAATTTTAAATAATTTAATAATACAAATAATAAATTACAAACAGTTATGTATGTATTTAATAATAAATTTATTCCCTGTAACAGTGTTATAAATTTTATAAACAATTAAATAAAGTAGTTTTTGTGTAATGTAGAACTATACATAAGTCTATATACTATTTTTCGTGTACTGTGACGATAAAAAAAATATGGAAATATTTTTTATTACAGTCCCTTTATTGCAACCTTCTCTGACTGCACTCAAGCCATCGTTTTATCCAATCCTCAATATTTGTTTTAAAGTCGCAGTAAATCTTTTTACGGTATAAATATAGGTGTGCTGTTGCTTTGTGACTTATCTCACTTGTCTGACAGTGATACCAGAAGAAGCCCACAAAACTCCTCTCCTGGCAAGGAAAGCCACTCCTGGCAAGGAGAGCAAGATTGCACCTGTCCTTCACATGAACCTTGAACACCATACAAGTGACACTACGATATTGCTCAGTTCCGCCCCCAATTTTCATGCACAGCAGCCCTCGGGGACGGATCCGAGGATTTCCCACCCCTCTTTCTCTACCCCGAACCTCTCTACAGAACTTTCGGCTCCCCCCCCCCATATTTAGAGTGCCTTCCTGTCGTACAGACGCTGTACATTTACAAACACCCGTGCTTTCTCTAGGATTCGAAACCAGGCCCTTTGTTACCACAGTAGGCTCCCCTAACCACTATATCGTCTGGAAGGCGCATAAATAGTTTCAAAATGGTGACTAAAAGCAGCAGTTTGTACACGTATTACATTTTTCGGTACTGAAAACATGAAAAATCAGTTACGCCGTCACTAGGATTAAAACTCCTGGTCTTCCGATTGTTAGCCGAGCAGGCTATCAGTTACTCTGCGAGAGGACATAATAGGGAACGCGGAAATTCCTTATGTTTTTTATACTTAAAGAGTGATAGAGGAGAGGGAAGCTACAACTAGTCAGCCAAATCCACCACCTTTTTATTCATGCCTCTATTGGAGAGCTATTAGGTTTCTTCTAAGCAGGAATCATTAGATATTAGCTATGCCCTCGCCCGTATTCTATCGAATCTTCCGATTTCTAGCCGGACATGCTGCCAGTTACATTACAAGAGCAGGCAATGTGAAACACGAAAATGTGTAACAAACATTAACCATGTAAATAAGAAGCAATCACATGGTATTTCTTATGTTATATAAATACCGAACTTGCGTTGACATACTTCTTGGATTTGGAGCCTAAAATTCGCAAAGAGTAAGAGCCTTGTGAGTAGCTGCATTATCAAGATATAAAAATGAAATTTTTTGGAAATAATTCAGATCGGTTCCCACGAATTGCTCCACAAAAACAGTGCAGAAGATTGAGGCAATGTTACTTATAAACAATGTAAAACCGATTTTCCCGAAGGTGCTATGAGATAAAGGTTGTCTTAATTTTAATATCAAAATTGCCCCTGGTACTTTATACCTGGATTTATGCACTTCTAATATATTACCTCAAGTTCCCATATATATATATAATTTCAAAACAATTTTTTAATACAATATATAACCATGCCTAGCATTTTCAAGCATTAAGCTGCTGCAAAATAATCAGTAAAGTAAGAAATTTAGAACCAATTTTTCACAAAGAGCAAAAATTAAAATTCATGCGTTATAAATTTCAAATAATCCTATAAATGTAAAAAAAAATAATAAGTATTAAAACCACAACACTTCAAACAATCAATAGCCCAATTTAAAAAATCAATGAAATTTAAAGGAAAAAAAACATAACAGAAGAGGAATTCAATCAACTTCAATGCTACTTCGCCAGGAAGAGGAACACTAAAGTCAACTGATCAAATTATATATATATATAATTATATATATATATATATAATTTGATCAGGAGAAATACTTATAATATATATATATAATTATTATATATATATATTATAAGGTATTTCTCCCGCCTTCTTAGCATGCCTTCGTGATATGTATATTATATATCTATATATATCTCTCTCTATATATATATTATAAGGTGTTTCTCTCGCCTTCTTAGCATGCCTTCGTGGTGTAGTGGTCAGCACACTCGGCGCGTATTCGAGAGGTTCGTGGTTCCAGTCCCGGCGAGGGCATTGCTCATTTTTCATCCCTCATGCTTTCAAAAAGTACCTAATGTCTCTACAATACGGCCTTGCCGATCAGAGACTTTTTCAAGCCAGTTGGCAGAAATGCATGATGTGCAACATCACCAAAATTGAAGGAATCGGGGCTAAGCATTACCTTGATTTCGGACTGTCTTTTTCGTTGCTTTTTCCGTCTTATTTTACTCTTGAAACGCCCTTTAGTAGAACTTAGAAATACATTTAAAGATTTCCTTTAAATCCAGAGCCAGCTCATACTATCTTAAATCCTTTTTCTCTTTATATTAAAAACATACATTTTACAATGGTTTTTACTAATTAACAGGCAGAATTCTTCGGGTTTTTAGAAGTCGGATGTTTTTTTATCCTCACCTTTAAATCCTTCCTCACTTTTTATTAGCTGCCACTTTTCTCCTCCCCCTGTTTTTTTACAAGAATTTTTTTCTTTTTTTTTTCCTAAGATTGTAGAAAATCTTGTTAAGTATCTGTATGACAGCTCTTTCTTTATTATTTGCCTGGGAAACGTTTCTAGATGCCTAGTTCTTTTGCGAAGGTTATTTACTGCTTTGCAGACATCTAAATCTTTTGGGAAAATTTACCTGTACCTGTTTTCCCTATCTATCTGTCCTGTCCGACGATTTTCCCATCCCATCGCTTTAAAAAAAATATAAGATCAATCTAATTTCGAACAAATTTTAGGAATTCTTAACAGATTATACAGAAGGAATTCTTAATATGCTTTTTCTCCTGTATTTCTTCCGTAACCTGTCTCTAAAATAGGATATTCTAAAACATTCTCTTAGCTTTAACATAATTTTCGTGTTTAAAAATTTAGGCATAAAAGAATTATTGCAATTTTAAGTATTTATTAACACAAATTTTTATTTTTACTTCGTGTTGGTAGAATTTTATAGTAAGAAATGTTTGTCAGAACTCCAGCAATTACCCTGTAAAATCTACTTGTTTATCTTTTGGTGTGACAGCTGAAGTACGTGTAGGAACCACGCAGGGCAAGGATTAAAAGAACCCTTTATTAAAGCTCACAGTGCTTCGACTTAATGCTAACAAACTACGCCTCGCTTGGGCGGTAACTCAAATAACAAGAACTAACCTAAAATATCAAAGATACTACCAAACAGTAGAATTACTCTACAGGGCTCAGATTCCTGTTACTTAAAACCGCGTTGGAATCTCGTGGCAGCCAAGTAATAACGGTTACGCTACGCTAACCAGCAATAAATGCAGAATCAGAAGCTCGCTCTACCAAGGTACAGTGCTTACCCACACTCTTCTAACTTTCCCTTCTAGAACTCAGTATTTAAACTTTTTCTTCTGAAGGTAGAATTTGCATTACTTCACTTCTACTGCGCGCTACCAAATTAAATATTCCGGCATTGACAATTAGGGGAATGAAGGCTTATAGGAAAGAACGTAAACTTAAATTTAACTGGTTATTCAAAACAAATATATATCCATACAGTCCTTTCAATAATTTTCTTACATTCTTTTGGCAAATTAATTAAAAAGTTCATTCGTGATTTATTTCACTGCCTTCTGATTCTCTCAGTATATTAACTAGTCATATCATCTTGAAATGCACAAATCTGCGCTGTTTTTACTATAAAAATATCACAGATTTTCAACGCTTCCAAAATATATTAGTGCCCTATAGTACATTCTAGTAAAGTCATTGCTGAAATATATCGTAGTTATGTCAGTCATTGTCGTATATTGCAGCTGTAAGTGCAATTTTGTCAGAACATAGTATCAATATTGTTATTTTTATCGACTTTTACTTGATATGTTATTTGAAAATGAGTCCAGAATTTTTTTAACATAACTTTACATTCTATCTTCAATAAAAAAAGACAAATTTTGGATGCTACTCTCTAAAATATAAATATCTAATAATAGCTAATCAATTAAATATTTTTAGCTTGTAAAGAGTTACACTGAACAATTGTGATAAAAAACAAGATTTTTTTAAATCACTTTTAGGCTAATGTTGTATTTGTTTGGGTTTTGCTGCAAAAATGAAATGATGCCAAATATTGATTCCGTTTTCAGTGTGTATATTATTCCACAATCTATATTTGTATTACCTAATGAGCTTGCTGCTAAGTATGACATAAATCGCTTGTTTGACGCTGGACCCCGGTTTCATAATAATATACTTTTCGTTTCCTTAGTTTACTTGGATAAATATGGAATCCGTCATAAACATAGTTTTCATTTACAACCAAATGAAACTATGAAATTTCGCATTAAACAACATAAATCGTATTTCAACAAAGGCAAAGTTATTAAATCTTTCATTCTGTTTTCTCAAACTTTCTCTAAATTTTGCATTTCTGATCCTGTACTTTATATTTTTAATGATAAATTTTTATCCAAAAATTTTCAGCTGCTGAATTATTCTGAAACTTCTTCTGTATTCGTCAGAAACCATTTTACTTTACATACTGGTTTTATTTTTAATCTATTTTCCAAGAATATTTACTCATCTTAATTCACAACTTTACTTCCCCGTTCTTTATTTCCTTCAATAGAGAACGTTACATACATAGGTAACTCTGAAATATCTTACCAGAGGCGGAAAATTGAGCTGATCCGGAAACATTATCGCGCTGTAATTTTCTATGATTTTAAAAAGGGGATAAATCAAGATGAATACCTTCAACGTCTCCAAATAGTACATGGAAATGAAGCTCTATCTTATGCGATTGTATTCAGATGGTTTACATAATTCGACATTTTCTTCTGGATGAATAACGTACAGGAAGTCCTCTGTCAGCTATAGCCCCAGAAAATGTGTCGACCATGCAAAACATGTTAACCAGTGATAATCGCTGTAATTGCCAAATAATTTAGAAGGAACTTAGCATTGGATTCGCAAACATACATCAAATTTTCAAGAAGTGCATGCGAAAGAATTGGTTTGTCATTCGGTATCTCATAAATTTAACAGAACAGCAAAAACTGGAGCATGTTAGAAAGTAAAAACGAAACCCTAAAATTTGCTTTATGATGGTGGTCATCGCATTATTTCTAAAATCATAACTTGTGAGGAATCGTACATAACATTTTTGACATCATTCCAACAGAGAAAACCACAGAATGAGCAGCTGTTCCATCTGAAAGACTTTCAGCTTTTCCTGCTCATTTAGCGGCTTTTATTTAAAAAAAAAAAAAAAAAAGTAAAAAAATAATATTACAAAGGTAAAACTATTATCTTGATATTTATTCATGTATACGTCTGTAATGAAGTTTTAAAGAACTCTCGCCATATTTTAACGAACAACTTACTTATTAGTCAAAACTTACAGAATAACTGAAAATCATTTTTAAGCGCGCGCATCGTCTGCGGATAATCGTCTGCGGTAATTTACATTTCTTAGTGGAATTATGTTGGTAGCGTAGCAAGGCAAATACATTAGTCTTAAATTCCTTAAGTCTTAAATACGGTTACAGGCTTAAAGATTATAAGCCACTTTTGTGAATACTGCTTACGTTAATAGATAACAATTGTGAATAAAAATGAGAATTATACTGCTTTGAGATTGTCGCTGTGTATAATAAGATAGTTCATTAGAATTCGAAGCTTCCGGCGAAGAGATTTATGCCTGAGATTCTGATGAAACCATTCACGAGCATCGTTTGTTGTATAGATCCAAAAATAATCTTATATAATGTAGATCTTTGGTTATTTGACGGTGAAACATGTAGTGGTTTAATGTATCTGGTAAGCCACAAATGCAGTTGTCTGTGTTACGTAGCTCAAAAAGAAATAAGTAGACCACAAAAGGTCGACGAGCTATCAGAAGATAAGTCACTGCACTATTTGTAGAAACTAATTTACGTTAGGGGGATGGATATTAAGAAAGTAAAGTATGGGTCTTTCAAGATGACCTCTAACCAAAAATGGTGAAAAGGCACAATCAGCAATGAAAAACCCTAATGTACGCCATTTTCTTTAATAGTACATAAATAGTTAAGCCGTTATGTTAAAAGGACAGAAGACAGTTACAGGTAACTGGTACACCATTAAATGTCGCCAAGAAATTCTTCAAGCAGGGAATATTAAAGGACTCATTGCATCTTCTCATTCATCAAGACTTAAATCAATTTTCTTGAATAATGTCACATTAAAGTGACAGAACATCCTCCCCATTCTCCTGATTTTGCTATGTATAACCTTTGGATACCTTTTAATTTAAAACAAAATGTACGTGATCGTCGTTTTCATTCCGAAGATGAGACTGCCGAGGCTTTAAAAGTATATTTTCCATTGCTTCCAAGAGTTTGATAGTTCGAAGCATTTAATCTTTGGAAAATTTGCCTATCAAAGTGCATTGTTGTTGGAGGAAACTACTTTTAAAGTGCACCATTTAGCTCTATCTCAAAAACTTCAGAGTGAACCTCACATCTGTTGTATCATCTGTGACTGAACTAATGATTCTTCGTATAAAATTTTGCCTTGGAGAAAGAATACCATTGTCTCTGGAAATGCACTGTCTTTTCATGACAAAGAACGTCAAGCAAAAAATAATTTTTTTGGTTGATATACTAATTGGCATATGCAACTATTGCCTTCATTTCCAGTGCCTTCATTTCTTCACTACTCATCACAGATCAGTCATGAAACTAACTAACTAGGGTTTCAGAGGAAAGCAGGTTTGGATGATTGCAATGATTCGTTAATGAACTAACGAATAAAACAGGAATACATCTGAGGTAACTGTATAAACTGAAATATAAATTATTGCTTAAAATTTTGCTTTATTCTTAATTTACATTTTCCTATGTTCATTTTAAAATTTTCTTTAAAATATTTTTATGAATAAAGTTTGGAAAAGTATATTGCACAGCTGCTTTAATAATGCTTCCTTAAGCTTGACAGTAATTTGCAGTTTTGTCTTACATACTCTGTTGTATTTGCCTAAGGTACTTATTTGCCACCATGCTTCCTTTTTAATACTTTTATAGAATCATCGATTGCTTTTTGAAATGTATGTACTGTTTTTACTACTGGTTTTACTGCTTCTTATATTTAAAAAAATATCTTTTCTTTGTTGAATTAAACAATAAAGTAATTTTTAACAGTTTATCACACAAATGAGATTGCCTCTTCATTATATTTTATTTATTAATTTCTGATAACTTAATTGACAAATTTAGTCTAATTCTCTTTTACATGAATAAGAGGCTTTTCTGAATTAGATAAAATAATATATTTAATGCAATGAAACACTAGTTATGGACATTTGCTATAGCAATACCCTGACTGTTACCATTTATTTCAAAATTTTAAGCATAGTATCTATATTCTTTGACTGCTGAAAAATTGTTTTAATTGAATGGATGTGTCTTTTTTATATTTATCCTATAATCTGCCTATCCTACTTGAATTCTGATTAGTTCTGCCACCTTCCTTAGGTATCCATGTTTAACCTGGCGGTGGGATTAGCTGGCTATGCCAACATTCCTGCCTTTAAAACTATGCGCACTCTACGAGCCCTCCGCCCCCTCCGTGCAATGTCACGACTGGAGGGGATGAGAGTAAGTAATATGATTCCAGTGATTGGGTCTGGTTTGTGGCTGTTATGTTCTTCAAGTGATATATGTCGTTAATGTTGTTGCAAAGCAGAAATTGACATATGATATACGTCTGTTACTAAGTGCCATTTTTCAATTTTGAAAGTCAGAGTAATGTTCCTTGGTTGGAATACAATGTTTGCTTTAGAAAACCGTACTTTATTATTTCATATAAAGGAAAATTCAAGTTTAATTCCAAAGAAACTATCTGGATACTTACCTTAGCTAATTAAGGTAAAACAACACGCCGAACAAATATTAAATTAGAAGTCAAACAACAAATTAGCTCTTGATCCAGAACTAAATTATTTAAAAGCAGTAGCTATTGATAGGGGCTTTTCACCCAACATTATTAACCAAGCAGTTAAAAAGTTCTCATCTCAACACACCAAAAGGCTCATTCTTGTCTTAGGAGATTATAAGAATTCTGTTGTCATTCCTTTCTTTCCATTAGCTAGCTATAAAATTCCACGTATTTTAGAGAAATTTAACTTTCGGGTTCTTTATTCTCCTATCAATAAAATTCCCAATTTCATGCTTAAGGACTCCATTCCGGATATGAATTCCCGGGATATTTACAGGATTCCTCGCCAGTGTGGTTTAATTTACATTGGTCAAACTAAGAGAGCCTAAAATTTCGCGTTAAGGAACATGAGGCATATATTAAGAAAAAGGAAACACAGAAGTCTTCTGTTGCCCAGCTTTGTTGATCCAGAAATCACACTTTCCATTTTTCTGCAGTCAAAATTATTCAAAAATACATCTTCCGTTGGTGAATTAGATTTTCTATAGACGTTTCACATTAAAAAAATCATTCTGTTACAGTTAATTCCGATTATTATAATTCCAATCCATCTTTACCTTCAACCTTTAAGGAAATTATGTTTTAGTTTTCTTGTTTCATCAATATATGGCGTCAGAAGCTTAACTTCTGTCCCGCCATTCTTATCTTATCGCTATATCTCATCTCGTTTGTTTGCACTTTGGCAGCTGAGGCTGATTCGGTAAAACCAGCTAAAATAGTCTGAAACGCTGATTTTTGTTGTTTGGCTTCTAATTTAACATCACCTTAGCTCATTTAACGCTTTCAATGTGATTGCTACTGTTATGGAATTTCTCGAGGAGATGGGTGTATAGTTCGTAAAACTAATGATCAAGATGAATCTCTTTTCATTGTCTGAAAATGCAAGGTGCAGACTATTAACATATGTCAGTTTCTGCTGAAGTGAACGAAAAAATACTTTTATTTCCTAGCAGCCATATTACCTCTCAACTCACTGGAATCTCAGTTTGTTCAATATTATGTGTGCTTGTCGTGACGTGATTAAACCGTGCTTGTTCCTTTATTGATGGAAAAATATTTCTGTGCATGTAGGACGCCAAATGCTACTCACATGTCATGGAAGCATTTTTCTTAAGTGGTGAGAGATAATAAGAGAAAGTAAAAAACACATGCAGTGCTCAGAAACCACTCTGATGTTTCATCACCCAACCCAGTGACCAATATATGAAATTGACTGTTTTCCCTTGTTACTGCTAACTTGCTTCTTGTCCACCAGGTGTCAGTGGTTAATCTTGTAGCCAATTTTCTTGGGGCTGCAAACATCCAAGCCTTCAAGACGATGCGTACCCTCCGTGCTCTTCGGCCTTTAAGAGCCCTTTCGCGCTTCCAGGGGATGAGGGTAAATATATATAGCTGTAGCCCTACACTAGCTCTCTGCATGGCTTTTAGTCTGCTGTATTTTATAGTCTCCGAGTATTTTTGCATTGTTCATGTGCTCTTGCTTAGTTGCCTGAAATTAAATTTTTACGATTTCTATTCTAAGTGATACCTTTGTAATAATTCTTTTTGCCTCAATAAGCTATTAGCTTTCTTTTTGCAGTTTCTAAGTTTTCGTATTCTAAATTATGGTTCATAAATCGTTTCTTCAAGCTGGTTGGATGACTGAAGATATTCTGTTATTGGTTAATCAAGAGTCAATAATTAATAAATTAAAAGAAATTGCACCAAGTTAGCTGTAGACTCGTAACTTGTTTTTTTCATTTAAATCAAGATAGCCTTCACGACACTAAGTAAAAAAATACATACTTAGGAGAAAATTTCTGACGCTTTGCATGTATTTGTTTCATATAAATAATATAAAAAATACCAATAATATACGCAATAAAATATCGTATAGACTATTTTCCAAATCATTTTTGATTGCATATTGGAGACTATACATTGACGTAATACTTTCGAAGAGAGCGCATAATTTTTTATTTTTTATCATAATTTATACAGACTGTATATTTATTGAAAATGGGTACAAATCGTTTAAATATTTTGAACCAATTAAATTAACAATTTATTTGGCATAGATACAATAAATTATAGGGTGCGGCAGTACTTGTAGCGTATTTATAAAATCCGTCCATAAGCAAATAATTGATTTTTACATGAGTAAATAATAATAAAGGAAATATTTGATTTAATAAGCAAATAATAGCCAATAACTGCAATAAGCAAAATTGCCATAAATAATTGATAAAATAATTGCCATAAGCAAATAATTGATTTGATTATGATCAAATAATTGATTTCAAGAATATATTATCCAAGTCGAATTGTACTCGGTCAAGAGATGAATATGTCCTTTCTCAAATAACGACACTCCTGCATCACATATCCTGAGCGACACTGGATGCTCCCATTACTTGTCCTATACTATACCAGAAAAGAAATATTGATGACGTTGATGCTGACTCAGTTCTTCAATTTTAGGTATAACGTGTTTAGGAAACTTCTTGCTTGATATACCAACTTATGAAACTATGGAAAAGTAATGACGTTCCTCAATACTTTGTCTAGATAAAATATCGAGAAGCCTTGTGAACTAACTACCGAATTATCCCTGAGTTTAAATAGTTGCTACAGCAACTAGAGAAGGGTTAAAATACCCTTTTATTCACTCAAAGAAATAATAACAGGTGGCCCCCTTCTCGGGCTTACAGGAAAGCCTTCAATCGGGCTTTTAAATATGGATAGGAAAATAAGATACTAAACTAAATACTTAGCCGAAGATAGACACAAATGCCTAACGTAGTTGGGACTTAAATTAAACTAGCCGTCGATTATCAACAGTCACGTTATCAACAGGCCGAGTGTAATACATTCAAGAACGAAGTAGCCAGAATCAAACACGCTGCGCTAAGAACTCCTACACGCTCCGCTCTGTTTCGAAGTAAGTTAAACTTCCATTAAGTACTTCTTCTAAATCACTTGCATTCAACGCGATTCTAATAACTCCTTCTGATAGGGAGTTGTACGTGTAAAACAAGAATTGAAAGAGAATTGTTACAAAATTAAAATGCACCTTACAAAGTTATTCTCGGAACTATAGAAGATGCAACTGCAGAATCACTATTATTGATATTATGCACTGATTATCATAAATTAAGGAAAAATCACAAAAATGACGATTACTGAAAAAGTTACATGCAAACTTTTATGAAACTTACCCACAATATACAACACATAGTAAGGTATCAAACAACATAAAAATAAATTAGCAGACAATTATGGTAGTATAGAAATTAGCACCTGTATAAAATGAACAAATCGAAGGTGTCAGTTTGCTATAGGAAAAGTACCTTCAATATGGAATATGGTCGCCTCTAGAAGCAATACAGCACATACAGCGATGCGTGATGCTTTCAATTATGCGGTCTATCAGTTCCATAGGAAGCGAGAGCCATTGCTCTTGCAAAGCAGTTGCAAGCGCTACAAGTGTCTGAGGAGGCGGATTGAGAGCAATTAGACGTCTCTCTAAAGCATCCCAAACGTGCTCGATAGGATTCAAGTCCGAGGACCGAGCTGGCTACTCCATGCGCATAATTGTTTCCTGTTGAAGATAATCATTTACGAAGCGAGCCCTGCGTGGTCTTGTGTTATCGTCCTGTAACAGGAAAGCATCACATATTGCCCCGGCACATTGGCGCACATAAGCATCAAGAATGTCATCTCTATAAACCGGAGCATTCACGATTCCCGTTGGAAAGACATGGAGGTCTGTGCGTCCACCCAAAGAGATGCCACCCGAAACACAGACACTGCCTCTTCCGTATGCATCTCTTTAACGGATGTTTGACGAATGATAACGGGTTCCAAGTTCTCTCCATATCAAATAACGCCTACTATCGCTTTCTAAACTAAACCTAGTCTCATCCGTAAAGAGAACAGCCCTCCACTGATCAGGCGTCCAGTAGACATGTTGTCGTGCCTACTGCAAACGATTCCTCCTATGGTGTGACGTGAGCGGCACGCAAATGGCTCGTCGCCTCGCATACAGACCACCTTCCTGAAGCCTTCTAAGTACAGTTGACGTTGACACCAACTATTCGGTGGCTGCAGCAAAGGAGGATCTAAGAAGAGTCGGAGTAGCGGTTCTATTCCTGCATGCACATAATGTCAAATATCGGTCATCGGCGCTTGTCGTAGCAGTTGGCCGTCTTTGGAACCTCCTAGATGCCGAATCTGTGGTTTGAAATCGCGTCCAAAGTCTATGAACCACAGAAGGACTCACATTTAGGCCATCTGGCCACTTCTGTTTGACTTTATCCCGCCTCTAGTCTCCCAATGGCTCTCCATCGTAGTTCTGCAGGCAAATGATGCTTGGAGGTTATTGTTACGAATTGGCTATCTCAGATTTCTGCTGTCGCTATCACAGTGAAATATGTGGGCTTGCTCTCAAACATGGACTTTTATTCTCCTCGCAGATGACTTATTCCGAGTGCAGCGCCACTAGGTTGCATATTGCAGTTTTATTCAGCTACTCTTACTTGGCAACAAATTCAAATTTTACACGGTTTGGCTTATTTTTGAGGGAGTTATCGCTATTTTTGTAATTTTTCCTTAATTTATGATAACCAGTGTAGAAAATGGAACTACAGAATGGTTATTCTCAAAATAAGAGTGAAAATAG